AACTCTATCATCGTCCTCATTGACCGCTATATCTTCTCTTGTATATCTTATCAAACTGCCTTAATTCGAACAATCAACCTTAATTATGATATGACAGTTCAAGTCTTCAAATCTGATTCCAATTTATATGGAACACGTTATTGATGAGTAAACTAATAAGCCACTTTTATACAGATATCAATTTTATTCATTTGTTTTCCATTCAAATGACAACTATTGGCTTGTGATATGACATACATCAAAAAGCACACTCTATGAGCAGATCAACAGGTCTCATGAATGATCATTTAATCTTTAATATGCATTCAACATTTGTTTTTATTCGCTTATGCTCTCTTTTTCCTTTTCTTGAGTGGATTTTCAGATTCAGAATTTTTCTTACCCAATTCCATCGTTGAATTTGTTCATCCTAACAAGATTGAATCATTTTTGATCTCACTTTCATGCGCACCATAAAATCACTTCTCAAGAACTTTTTTTGGTGATCGTTATCAGGTCGACAATCCTATTATCACATAGTGAAATCTTCAGTACACATGTGTTTGTTTGCACGGATATGCACGTAAATACATATGCATGTGTATTAAGATGAAACATTTTTCATGATCTTTTGTATTTTCTTGACCTTTCTCTTCAAAATCGTGGTTTTTTGACTGTGAAAGTCCATCGAAAAATAAATGCTTGGGTTGTAAGACCGCATCTTGATCGAACAATTTTTCAAACTATTTTTTTCCAAAGCGAAATTTTATATGGATTGTTTTTAGACCAAATGGCACATTTCACTGAGCTGGAACCTCAGCAAATCCAATATCCAAACAAATTTATGATCTCAACATACATAAACAAGTATTTGTTCATGTACTTGCCAGATCTATCGTAAATGTGTATTATAGTGATCGTAGACAATGGAAATGTGCATAAAATTGTGAATCATAAGAAATGTGAACCTCTAGTTGTCTATTTGATTAAGATATGCACATACTTCTGCTATGACTGATTGGAATAACACTCGTTCATCATCAGTCGATTTGGTTACACTGAAATGCATGAATAGACTTTCGAACATTTTCGTCGTTTCTATTATTCATTCAAAAGCATCTCGAAACGACTGAACATCCAAAAACACTCAAAAATGGGAACGACTCGAATTTGGTTCGGCAGAAAATCACTGCAACCACTTTATAAGGATCGAATCAGCTCAAAGACTCTTCAACAGCTCAAAGCTAATTTAATATTATTCACTTGATACTCCTACTACGACTCAGTTATCATTATGCATCGCTCAGTTTTGTCTATTAGATAGATCATCAAATCCTGATTTGTCTGCGCATCAAACTTGAGAAATAATATAATGGATAAATCATTGTGTAAATGGAATTAAACGCACTACAATTTAATTATATTCGCCATGACTCGATGAAATCTATGTGCTTTTTTTCATTCACTTTGAAATTGTTTGGGAAATTCTAACTGAATTTCAATCGAGGATGATAAGCAAAGTGAATTAGATGAATGAGCTAGAAAAATACGACTTGCGTTTTGTTTTTGCTTTGAAATTCATAACTTCTGTTTTGATCTAACGAAACAGTGACTGAATCCAAGTTTTAGAATGTATTTCCAGAAGGGCAGCGAGAGCAATTGCATCTGAATGAATCGTTTTTACTTTTAGCAAAAACATCGCGCAATATTTATGTGCATATTTTCGATGCATCGCCTTCATCATTTTATCAGCACCTGCATACATCTGAAAGCAGATCGCTGCTTCGGCCTCGTTTTCTTCATCTCTTCAGCCGATCTATTCCCACAGTTCTTTGGATCTAAAAATCTTCTGATAACGAAATCTATCATAAGTGTGCATTTATGTTTTCCCTGTGTGGTACTTATCATTTTTTGCTATCGTTCAGCGATTTTCATGTTTTCTTCTCACTTCATCATGTGTTCAGATATCGTACATTCCAGACTGCACTGGTGAAAGCCGAATGGCACTTCAAAATTTTTTACATTCGTTTTGCTCGCCTAGTGAGTTGCTTTTTCAAGTTCAAGTCATTAATCTAGAGCATAATCAGCAGAAATTTATCCATGATTTGGTCGACAGTGTTCCATTCACCTTGATAGCTCATTGTTTGTTTTGCGATGTGTTAAGTGTGAAATGAATTCTTTTTTTCTTTCAAAAGAACTTTTGTTCAACTTTAAAAATCCAATGAATGCGCAACCATAAAATTTAGGTCAACTCATTCACATATTCATTCATGCACTCCTCTTCAAAAATTTATTTTGAACGGTTCGTCAAGAACTGATTCATCATGGCTCATGATCCATCCATGCATCCATTAATCCATCGTACCATTGCGACATCACATCGCACAATCACAACGATCGCATTTGCTTGATCTTTGATTATAGAATTGTTGTTGGGTCGTTATTCTATTATGACATGTATCAACCGGTCTTTGTTGAGATTATTGTGCGTGATGATCGATCGCCTCAACGAATTTTGTGAATTTGCTCCTTTATTTCTTCGTATATTCTGATATTGTTGTTTTCTTTTTTTTGCAGAGTAGCAATGCTGAAAATTGACGAGGAACTCGAATAGAAACAAGTCAGATATTGCCATAATATAGGATATCCACTGCATTCTCAAACCATCGCTCGACTTCGGTTTCATTTTGAATTTTCAATTATTGTGGTTTGCTTTCATCGCTTCTCCAGTCGTAGGAGAGCATTAACTAAGCGGCTATTTCACGCATTACAAAACGAAGAAATTTTAACGCGATGAGTCAGTGTTCAGAAAGGACTGGAGGCTAAACGCAAGAATAGTTTCGTGCTGAAATGAATCGATGTTGATGATGTTCATGAAACGATAACGCATTCAAAATGACATCAAAAAAATTTCAGAAGAAATTTCTGAGAATTAAGATATATTCTGCGGACAAAATTTTACAAACAATTTCATCGAATTTGTTCCTTGATTATCATATGTCACATGAACATTTGAATGTTTATTTTTTAAAATTGTTATGATTCCGAATTTTTGTTACAATCGTCATTGCTCTTAAAAATTAATCTGCGGCAATAGTTTTGTTGATATTCACTCGGTTTGACAGATTCACATCGAAATCGAAATCGGTGAAAACGATCAAGAACGCCTCTAACAAATATTCTGTGTGCCGTTCATGTAAGCACACATTTGTGACGACCGGCGATTAAAGACATCTTCGCTTTGAATTCTGTTTGTTGTGTGTGTGTGTGAATATTTTCGTCGTCTCCCTTTTTTTTGTTTTCACTGTTTTAGTCAATTTAATTTTCTCAATTCCTTTCGATTGATCAATTGACCTCAGCCCAAAGTAGGCGAAGGAAAAGGAAAGGTTGAATTTGATTTTTGACTTGTTTTTAAAATGGTTATCCTATGAATCCTGTATTGTTTGTGACTAACTCGAAATGATGTGTCATTTGCTACTTACGACGTGAAATGGTATAAAAGAAGTGCGGTGGTGGGGAAAGCGCGCGAGTGAGACCTGCTGAGAGGAGGGCGCGAGGGATGGAATTGAAGGATATAAAGATCGACAAATCAAGAACATGAAATATGTTACATTTCAATCTGAGTCCATTTAATTGTTGTCGTTATGTGAATGTGGTTTAATTTATTTCAAGCGATGTACTCATGCTCTCAGGTGATCTATAATATCTATGCGTTCATGTTTATGTGAATATATATATATATATATATATATATA